GGGGCGACAAGCCGCACGAGGGCGGCGCGCTGGGCAGCAAGTGCGGCACGAGGGTCGCTAGGGGCGGCTAGTGGGGCAGCGCAGTGGTGGGCCCAAGGAAAAAAAAAATGGTCCTAGCGAAGGACCTGCTCTGAAACCATGTCAGAAGAATGAACGAGAATGAATGAACTATGAAAGAGTTCGGTACAAGTACTAACCCTAATTGGGTTGTACCCCTTATGGGCTACCCCACTATAGCCTACACAAATGTAAGCACTAAAACATTCTAACAGCAACCCCAGACACGAAAACGCGACGGAGCACCTGGGGACCCGGTCCAAAGACTGGTCGGTGAAACCTCTGGCCGAGAGACACGTGGCCAAAGGTTCAGCTGGTGAGCGGCATACCGAACTGCGTAGGGCCACAGAATTCTGCTGTGGGGACTCTGGAAGCGTCCAGGACTGACTAATGCCCTGCTCGCGACAGAATCCAGCGAGAATGCCAGAGCGAAACTCACCCCCGCAGTCGGAGTGAAGACAGCTGACACGACGACCACGAGTGTCCGCAGTGTTAAGCAACCACAGGATCAGCGTAGAAGTTACGTTGGACTTCTTCGCCAGGGGGAACAGTGTGGTGTAGCGGGAGTAGTCGTCAACGACCACGAGAAAGAAACTCTCTCGCTCAGGGCCAGGGCGCGAGGAAGGGCCCTAGACGTCCAAGTGGAGAGTCTCGAAGGGCTCGGTGGCAGGACGAAGGGAGGAGGAGTGAGGGGTAGCATGCAGCCGACCCTCGACGCATGGACCGCAGGGTGACTCAAGCGAAGGCGGCAACGACGGCAAGACACGCTGGAGGCCTAAGACAAGACGCTGACTAGACATAGCGCGCAGGCGAGAAATGGACGGGTGCCCCATCCAGTGGTGCCACAAAACAGTGGGGTGGGCAAGCGACCGGCAGGAGCACGACGCAACAAATGGACCAGACAATGGAACCTAACCAGACACAATTACCTGGGGAGACGCGGCAACCTGGTGAGATGCCAGAACCTGATGGGGGACAGTGACAGGGGTCTGGGGCAGTATCTGCCGCTGCTGCTGATGCCGCTGCTGCTGCTGCTGCTGCTGCTGCTGCTGCTATCGCTGCTGCTGCTGCTGCTGCTGCCCTCGGGGGCCAGTGTGAAGTGTGTAGAGACCAGATACCGGCTCAGCGGTAAAGGTGGCGAGAGGCGCGTACGTGTCCCCATCGACACAAACCGCAGTCTCGCCAGAAGGCCCAATCCACACACCTACGTGCTGACTCACGAGCGGCCTCACGCCCACCAAGTTCCTCGAGAACGAGGGGACGGGGAAGCCGCTCAGAGAACCGGAGGGAACAGCCGGGCACGGAAGTGTAGTAGTGTAGCGAGCAGTGACTGGTCCCAAAGTGGGATCAGCCAGTGCTACAGAGACCGGCGTAGGAAGTAGGGTAAGTGTCGTGCGGTCGCGGAAGAAACAGTGGGAAGCTCCGAGTCCAGAATGAAAGACAGCGAAGCGTCCTCTGGAGCAGCTCCTGGACTAGTGTCTACACAAGTACCTACACTAGCAACAGGCATCTCAGCAAGACTAGCACCTAAGCTAACAACACTCGAGTAAACAGAGTCAGAAGCACTAGAGTCAACAACAGCATACATAGCATGAGGAGTTCCGGAGAGATCAACCAACTGAGAAGCCGACATGCCCCACAGAGCAGGGCCATACGTCTGAACAAGGGGAAGCCATTCAGGGGCTGGGCCGTCAACGCCGTAGGCCAATCAAACCGTGTCAGTAAGCTGAGCAAAGCACTGACCCGGTGGGTGGCTGCGGCCGCAAGGCTGGCTGCGGCGGGCACCTGTCAGAACGTGATAGGTGCAGGGAGGGTGGACGACACCGCGCTGCAGCTCACGCTATCCTGACCCCTGCCCCGAAACCTGCTCCTGCCGCTGCTGCTGCTGTGGCTGCTGCGAGGGGAGGGGCTGCTGCTGCTGCTGCTGTCGTCGAGTCAGGTACCACGCCGCTGCTCCACCCCCTGCGGCTGGCAGACCAGTAGGTGGCTATCGAACCCGGGCGTCACCTCTACCAGCTGCAGCAAGGGAGTCACCGGCCACTGCACGAGGCCCGCCGCCGCCGCTCGCCACGTCACCCCCACCGCCTCCGCCCGCACCCTGACCGCCCCTCCTGCCACTCCTACCCCGAGACCGCGAAGAAGTCGTAACAGCAGCTGTGGACACGTCAGTAGCGGCAATGGCGAGGGAGGCAGTAAAGGTGGGCAGCTGAGGGACAGTGCACCCGTGGAACAGTGGAGGGGGCACAACACCAGAGGCAGAGGCTACCGAGCGGAGGTTGCTCTCGACGTCCTTGAGGGCCGACTCAAGGACCTCGATAGTGAGCTCACTAGGGTGCTTCAGAAGAAGCGCGTCACGAACCGAGGCAAGGCGGTCAGGGAGGCTAGTGGCGATGAAATAGATAGTAATCGCCATGGGGGGAGGGAGCAGTGCAAGCTGTCCGTCAGTACAAGCAGCGCGGTAGCTAGAATCGAGCGAGCGCAGATGAGTGATCAAGTCAGCAGTGCGCTCAAACGAGGCAAGGTCAGGAAATAGGAACGGAAGGAACAGGCGACCAAGAGAGACAGTGGTGGGAGTAGCGTAGCGGGCCTTGATCGCAGTCAGGAACTCACTAGCCGTGCGAACCTGAGTGAAGTGGGTCTCCTCAGACTCAGGGAGGAGGCTGCTGAGGGCGACGCGACGGGACAGCAGGGGCGACGGCACGGGACGGGACAGCAGGGGCGACGCGACGGCAGGGGCGACGAGACGGGACAGCAGGGGCGACGGGACAGCAGGGGCGACGCGACGGTAGGGGCGACGGGACGGGACAGCAGGGGCGACGGGACGGGACAGGACAGCAGGGGCGATGCGACGGCAGGGGCGACGGGACGGGACAGCAGGGGCGACGGGACAGCAAGGGCGACGGGATGGGATGGGACAGCAGGGGCGACGCGACGCAGGCGCAGCGGGCGCTAGGGCACGAGAGAGACGGGCGCGAGAGGCGCTAGGGGACAGTACGGGCGTAACGGACAATAGGGTACGCGACAGGCTCGGGCGCTACGGATGTGAACGAGAGGAACGGGATCCTACAGGATCCTAACCTAGGTGATACCATGTCAAGAATGAAAGTGTTGGTTTCACTAAGGTTGGTTGGGGTACATAAACCTAACCCTAATAGTTGTACCCCCTATGACACACATCACTAAGACTACAACATTTGAGATATAATCACTTCCTGAATTACATGTTCATATTGGACGTTCTCAACGCTAAGAATAGTGCTTGATTATTGATAGATATGTGAATGATATTCATTTAAAAGAGTAAGTGAAACTAGGAGTGGAGGTTTTCACAGAAGTTGTAGTGATAGCAAGAATATTTGCTCATGCCATAAAAAAAAAATAGCTGCTGTGTGAATAATGCGAGACAGTGGGACTAGCTGTAAGGGGGTACAAAGGTGTCAACCTGTGGAAAGAGCTGGAACAGTCAGATGCTTTTCTTGCAGCCGAGCCAATCAGATTCTATACCAGCCCTGAAAGTCACCCAAGCTACCTGCGACGGCGGGTCATGTTTGGGAGAGAATGTTTTGACTCCAGACTTGAACCATCCCACCTGACCCTGAGTGTCCAGAGTGTTTGTTGAACAGAAGTGTACATTTTTCTTAAATCAGTAATATTCCCAAGATTACTGTTACCGTCCACCCCCCCATCCCAACTTAAATCCAGTCGCAAGTGGCCCATGTCCCACTAGCTCGGTTTTCCATTCAGTGTTGGGGATAGTTAAGTTTTACAATCCTAGCCAGCACTGATGAAACTGCTCTTGGGATTCCAAGAAACTGGAAATTCCTACTTGAGAATTGTTGTCATCCCAGAATTTCTGGGTAGACATTACGAAGAAAATGGGAAGTAGATTTGGCCAGAACCCATCTGTCACTCACACATTTGATTTTCGCTACTGGTTACAACCTGTTTCGAGAATTCGTGGATTCGCCAGTTCGGAACTCCACAGGTCCGTCTGTCAGTCCACTCAAGTGTAAACTACCTGCTTTGTCAATTTTCAGGAAGTCGTATTCAGAATAACCCTTTACAGCATTTCCCCTCCCTCCCCGCACAAACCGTCTGTCAGAACATCAAGTTACCTCGATCGCTGTTGCTCCGCGTTCTGCGGCACGACCGACCTCCATAGGTTGTTCTATTTGCGTCGGTTCACTGTACTGAAAGCGTGCCCACGCTACGGCGGAATCTTTCATCGTCGCACCCGAATGCATGTGTGTCTACAATCGCGTAAGCGTGTTGCGTGGCACGGTCAACGAAGCTTGTAGTCACGTTTTAGTGTCAGCTGAGCTTCGAACCACATCTCAAGCAATCTCGATAGAAGCCTTCTCGTTATTAGATGCTTCGGTATCAGCCTGCATAGGCTAAGCGTTCCCTCTTTGCACCAGCACCTCGAGCTAGCACATTCAATCACCGCGGCAGAGACCTAGCAGCACCGAATAGCACCGAGTAGCACCGTGCAGCAATGGACCCCAGCAAGCGGTATCAGGTGCGGCCTAGCAGCGCCAAGTACGACGCGCGGCCCGGCATTAAGTGGTCTGACAGCCTCTGGGGTTTCCGCGTCATCGTCGCCGTCATTATCGGCCTCGCTGTAGCGGGATTCGCTTTCGTGTAGGTCTTTGTTTGACAATGAGGACTCCATTTGTGTATGCCTCTGTATTGGTTATATTTGCGTTTCTTTGCTCGTAAGGGCGTACTTCTCCTCATCGTTACAGCGAGGTTCGCGAACGATTTGCGTATGGGTCTCTATTTTCATCTCCAGTTTAAAGCACCCTCTCGGTCCCTCCTCTCCCTCCTTGCCCTCTCGTTCCATCCCTTCATCATTCCGCATCCCGTCACTTTACTCGTCCGCACAACCCGCGCCATCTCCCCGCTCCCCAACCCCACCCGGGCCGTGCCTCATTCCGAGCCAGCCTGCCCGGTTTGGCGAGGCCGACCCTGCAGGCGGTGCTGTACGCGGTAGTGAGTGCTGCGGTGTTCCTGGCGCTGCTCTTCCTCTTCCTCGTGCAACACATCGACCCCGGGATCATCCCTCCTTCCGAGATTAAAGGTACAATCGTAACCTCTACGGTCCTCGCTCCCTCTCTTCCCCCCCCCCCCCCCTCCTCCTTCTCTCTTCTCTCTTCCTCTTCCTCGTGCAACACATCGACCCTGGGATCATCCCGCCTTCTGACATCAAAGGTAAGAGTGAAACCACAATCTTTCAACCCTTCCTCCCGTCCCCCCCTCTCTCCCCCCTTCCTCTTCTCTCTTCCTCTTCCTTCTCTCGTGCAACACATCGACCCAGTTGAAATTGAGAGGCACACAGTCGTACGGTCGACAGTCATGCTTCGCCTTCTTCTTCTTCCCTCTCTCCCTTCCTTCCTGCCCTCATGCAACCCCCCCCCCCCCCCCCCCCCCCCCCCCCCCGCCCCCCCCGTCTTCCGGTCCCTTCCCCTCTCTGCTGCTTCTTCCCTCCCCTTCTTCCCCCAGACCCCGAGGTGGTGGCAGCAGAGAGGGGGCAGATTTCGCCAGACCTCGTCATCGACTCGCACGCCCAGTGGGCCTGCCGCTACCTGCTGCTTATCCCCTCCCTTCTCTCTGCCTTCCTGCTCTATTCCCCCTCAGACCCGGAAGTCGTAGCAGCAGAGAGGGGGCAGATTTCGCCAGACCTCGTCATCGACTCGCACGGCCAGTGGGCACGCCGCCGCCTACTGCTGGACGGGCGGTCGGAGATCACCCAGCGCTACTGCAGCACGTGCAACGTTTGGCGGCAGCCCAGGACCAGTCACTGTTCTCGATGTGGCTTTTGTATGGAGGTGGGTGCTGTTGTCTGGCTGTAGCATTGGCTGATCTCTCCTGCTGCTGGATGGGCGATCGGAGATCACCCAGCGCTACTGCAGCACGTGCAATGTGTGGCGGCAGCCGCGCACCAGCCACTGCTCCCGATGCGGCTTTTGTACGGAGGTAAGGCATGAGACACACTGGCTGTAGCACTGCAGCTTCTGTAGCGCCTGCTGCTGGACGGGCGGTCGGAGATCACTCAGCGTTGCTGCAGGCGTGCAACGTGTAGCGGCAGCCCAGGACCATTCACTGTTCCTGATGTGGCTTTTGTATGGAGGTGAGTGTGGCAATGGCAGCATATGCCAGTAGAAGGTGCACTGTGTAGCATGTGTGCTGGACAGGCGGTCAGAGATCACGTAGCAATACTGCAGCACTTGTAATGTCTGGAGGCAACCCAGGACCAGCCATTGCTTGCAATGCGGCTTCTTTATGGAGGTATGTTCTGTTATATGGCTGTAGCATGGTTGTAGCGCCTTGATGATGCGCCTGCTGCTGGATTGGCGGTCCAAAAAAGATGTCCGCCGAAGAAAAAAAAAAAAAAAAAAAAAAAAAAAACACACACAAAAAAACAAACAAGATAGCCCAACGCTACTGCAGCAGCACACTATGCACCAGCCACCACCACTGCCTCTTCACCCTTTAAAACTCAACCCCCACTTCTCCCCCTACTCAACCCCTCCCTGCTCCCCCTCACCTCTCCCCTTCTACCTCCCCATTCCACTGCTGGCAGAGGTTCGATCATCATTGCGGGGCGGTGGGCACATGTGTGGCACGCAAGAACCACCGCTTTTTCACCGGATTCCTCTTCTCCGCTTCTTTGGTAGGACAACTTGATGGCAAGGCACCACGTTGATAGAGATACTCGCACTGGGTCACACGCACGTGCTGGGGGACTCACACCTGCTGCTGCACACACACACCCCACATGTGTGGCACGCAAGAACCACCGCTTCTTCCCCGGATTCCTCTTCTCCACCTCGCTGGTATGACAAAAGTGATGGTGTGGTAATGCACCCACGTATGCTGGTTAGGGAAGGCAACCCAGTTACCAGGCGCCTTATTTGTTCCAACTTCCAACCCACGTGTGCTGCCGCGCCCCCCTCCCTGCTCCTCGTAACACCCTAGAGCTGTCAGGCCTGATCCTGGATGTGTTCAAATTGCAGAGCCTAAAAATGCTTAACTCTTCCTTCCACCTCTCCGTCCCCTCCTCTTCCTCCCCTCCCCTCCCTCCTCTCCCTCATGTCCTCTTGTGCTTCTCTCAACAACAGCGTCTCTCTGCTGCTGTATGCACCATTGCTCGCTCGTGGCCATTTTTCTTGGTCTTCGTTCTCCTCTCTCGATTCTCGTCCCTCTGTGCCTCCCTCCGCTTCTTACCCCCTCGTGTTTTTCCAACACCAGGCATCAGGCCTGCTGCTCTATGCGACTGTATTACGCATTTCTCCTTGCCATTCCTCTCCATCCTCTCCTCTCCATCCTCTCCTCTCCCTCCTCTCCTCTCCCTCCTCTCCTCTCTATCCTCTCCTCTCCCTCCTCCGTCCCTCCGTGTTCCCCCCAACACCAGGCATCAGGCCTGCTGCTCTATGTGACTGTATTACGCATTTCTCCTTGCCATTCCTCTCCATCCTCTCCTCTCCATCCTCTCCTCTCCCTCCTCTCCTCTCCCTCCTCTCCTCTCCATCCTCTCCTCTCCCTCCTCTGTCCCTCCGTGTTCCCCCCAACACCAGGCATCAGGCCTGCTGCTCTATGTGACTGTATTACGCATTTCTCCTTGCCATTCCTCTCCATCCTCTCCTCTCCATCCTCTCCTCTCCCTCCTCTCCTCTCCCTCCTCTCCTCTCCCTCCTCCGTCCCTCCGTGTTCCACCCAACACCAGGCATCAGGCCTTCTGCTCTATGCGACTGTGCTGCGGCTCAAGGAGGAGGACTGGGATAAGTGAGTGAGATGGTGATAGGCGGGTAGGTTTTCAGCGTGTTTGATCGGATCAGTGCGAGTGTTATGACGTCTCCTAACTCTATTGCGACTGTTCTGTACTCGGAGGAGGACTGGGATAAGTGAGTGAAATGCTCATAATGAGTGTGATGGTATAAGTGATTGTGGTCTTATGAGTGTAATACTCCAAGTGAGTGCTAGTATGAGTGAGTGTGATACGAGTGTGATACTAAAAGATTGAGTGTGATACTAAAATCGAGTGTGTTATTATAAGTTATTGTGATATTATAAGCAAGTGTTTACTGTGCACGAGTGTGGTACTATATGCAAGCATGCGAATCTTTAAGCCAGTCTGCATTCGACCCAAGTTTAGATTCGAGTGTCCCACCTCCCACCTTCCTGCCTCCCACTCCCCACCTCCCCACCTCCCCACCTTCCCCACCTTCCTAACCCCCTACCTCCCCCGCACCACATGCTAGCGGTCTGAGTGAGCAAGACGTGTATGCCTTCTCCCTCATGCGGCTTTTGTCTCCCCACTCCTCCCCTCCCCCTGTCCCCATGCCTCTTCTTTCTCTGATTTTGCTCCCATTCCCCCCCACCCCTCTCAGGGGTCTGAGCGAGCAGGAGGTGTATGTGTTCTTCCTCATGCTGCTCGCCCTCGCCTACTTTTACACATCGCTGCTCTTCTTCTTTGCTGTCATGCACGGCACGATTCTTCTTTGTGGTACGTGTGCCCCCTTCTCTCCTAAGGTGGTTTTTGAGTCGACTCAAAAATCGCCTCATCACACACGATTCTTCTGTGTGGTACGTGTGCCCCCTTCTCTCCTAAGGTATCACTCCCTTCTCTCCCTTCACTCCCTTCACTCCCTTCACTCCCACACATCGCTGCTCTTCTTCTTTGCCGTCATACATGGCACGATTCTTCTACGCGGTATGTGTGCTGCCCTCCTCCTCCTGCTCCCCTGCTCGCACTGCCCTCCCCCCCCTCTCCTTTCATTGCCCCTCCTCTCCTTACCCAAATCCTTATGCATGGACTCATCGTGCTCTGCCTTGTATCCCACTCACCCGTTCGACACATCAGTCCTCCTCAACTTTTCCCTCCTGGCACATCTAGATCCGCCGAAAGCACCATCCACGTGATAATAGAACACTTCTTCTATCATGTCCCCGTCCTCAAATTTTCCCTCCTGCCACATCATTCCACATCTAGATCCGCCCAAAGCACCACCCTCATTCGATTCTAGCCAGGCCTGCCCCCCGACCGCTCCCTTCTCTTTCTCCCCGCCCCCAGACTCCTATCCAGACAAGGGTCTTTAGCCCCTTTCTTCCCTCAACAATTTCTCACTTATTCCCCCACTTCCTTCCCTGCTTTCCCCACCTCCGCCTACCGCCCAGACTGCACCACCAAGCAGTACATCCGATCCAGGCAGGGCCGAGGTTCGGAGTGGCAGCGCCCGAGCCTGCACGTGTGGCTCGACAACATGAACAGTATTTGCTGCGCAGAAGTGCGCAGCAAACACGTCGCTACAGTGAATGCCGTTGTAGAGGGTACGGCTCGTGCCCAGGGGCTTGCACCCGTGTGAACGACACATGTAATTTCTAGAGTCACATCTGACAAGAAGTGTGCAGTAAACACTTACAGTGAATGTGGTTGTAGAGGGTACAGCTCGCGCCCAGGGATTTGCACCCATGTGAGCTGGCACCCGTGTGAGTTTGCATCCGTTGTGATTGGTGCATGAATTGATGTGTGGTAAACACATCATTGCAGTTTCTGCCACCATAAAGGGTAGGGCTCGTTCCCAGGGCCTCAACACCCATGTAAACAATATATGGTATTGTCTGGATAGGAGATTAGGGGGTGTGTGTGCTAGGAAATGAAATATTCCCAGCTTTGCGTTCACGAAAGTGCACCTTTTCGTCCGTTCACGGTACACCCTATCTCACCAGCGTAGGAGACTGCCTCTCTGCAGAAAAAAAAAAAAAAAAAAAAAAAAAAAAATCTTATTGCTTTCTTCGTTAGAGCATCGTGGGCTTCAATTTCCCTAATGATATTTTACCTGTACACTGTAAGGGGTGTTGGGCTGAGAAATAGCCCTTAGGATCTTTCAAGGCTAAGATCTTGTTGAAGTAGGAATGTTGTAGTTGCGGAAGCGTTGAATAGAAATTTACTTGAACCACCTTGCACTCGTGTGTGAGAACAAGATGAGTTGATAATAGCAGAGAGATACAAGCTTTTATATGATTACAAAAGACTATGAAAAGATTATACTTTTAACTGTTTTTGCTGTTGCGGTTCGATACAGTGACGACTCGGGTAACTGCAAAGTATCGAGTCAGTTATGTGTACTTGATGTCGCACTGTACTTTTCGTCGAGTCAAAGGTCAGCGACCTTTGACCTTCGCGTAACCTCCAGCGGTTGCTTTTGTTGACTCGTGTGTTGCTTCACTGTAGTCTGCTCTGTTTCATGTCAACACTTCAATGCTTCAGAAGCGTTTAAGTTACTTGTTTCCAACACTCCCCTTCGCTTCTGGAGTGTCGTTGCTGATGACGTGTCCTTGTCCAGTCAGCAGCATGCAGTACTCGAACTTTTGTTTTCCGAGTTTCTTGGTCAAGTAATCGGCTGCCATCTCGGATGTGGGACAGTAGGATAACTCGAGTCTTCTGTCAAACATTAATCTCATAGCCTGTCTAGGCTGTAGTGGGGTAGACACTATGGGGTACAGTTTCCTAGGGTTTCATATTTGTACCCAACTCATTTCCTTGTAAATCATTCATTCCTGTTTCTTCACATGGTATAGAGCGGGTTCCCTAGCGGGACCGTTCCTTCCTAAGGGCCCACCGTCAAATTTTTTTTTTTTCCTACCTGCCCGAAGCGCGCTTCGCGCTCTGCCCTACCCTCGATCTTCGCGGCCCCCTAGCGGCCTGCCCTGCCCTACGCGGCCCCCCTTTGCGGCCCATTAGCGGCCCCCTTCGAGGCCCCGTTGCGACCCCGCCCCGGCCCTGCCCCGTCGCCCGAAGCCGCCGCGTCGCGGCCCGGCTCGTTGCCCCGTCGCCCGGCGCCCCGTCACCTCGGCCCGGCCCAGCCCGTCGCCCCGTCGTCCCGGCCCGGCCCTGCCCGTCACCCCGTCGCCCGGCGCTGCCCTGGCCCTGCCCCGTCGCTCGTCGCGGCCCTGTCGCGGCCCGGCCTCGGCCCTGCCCCGGCCCTCCCCCGGCCCTGTCGCGGCCCTGTTCCGGCCTGTCGCAGCCCTGCCCCGACCCTGTCGCGGCCCTGTCCCGGACCTGTCGCGGCCCTGCCCCGGCCCTGTTGCGGCCCTGTCGCGGCTCTGCCCCGGCCCTGTCCCGGCCCTGCCACTGCACTGCCCCGACCCTTCCCCGGTGCTGCCCCGGCCCTGCCCCGGACCTGTCGCAACCCTGCCCCGGCCCTGCCCCGGACCTGTTGCAGCCCGGCCCCGGCCCTGCCACGGACCTGTCGCAGCCCTGCCCCGGCCCTCCCTCGGCCCTGCCCCGGCCTCGCCCCTGGTAAGAGCATCGCCGGGCCGAGCCGCGCTGCCGAGCCGCACCGCTCTGCCGAGCCGCCCTGCCGAGCCGCGCCGCCGAGCCGCCCTGCCGAGCCGCGCTGCCCTGCCTAGCCGCGTCGCTTAGCCTAGTTGCATTGCTACTGCTGCTAGCCTGCTGCTGCTCCTGTCATGGCTAGTCCCAGTGTTCTTACCTTTGATGCTGAGGGTCGAGCGGTTGACTTCGATGTCTGGCTAGATGATTTGCAGCTTTTCCTACAGTGCGATAGCAAGGATGGCCTCTCACTGTTCGATCTCACGTCTGGCGCCTCTACTGCCCCTGCTGCTGATGCTGACAGTACCGTTCGCTCGCAGTGGCTCACGCGCGATGCTGCTGCCCGCCTTGCTGTGCGTAGTCACCTACCGTCTACTGAGCGCGCGCACTTTAGTCAGTACAAGAGTGCTAAGACTCTGTACGACGCTGTTGTTGCACGCTACTCTTCCCCTGCCACTGCTGCGCTTAGTCGCCTCATGCTACCGTACCTGTTCCCTGACCTCGCCGCTTTTGCCACAGTCACTGACCTCATTACGCACCTCCGCACTAGTGACACCCGCTACCGCGCTGCGCTTCCTGCTGAGTTCTGCGCCAAGAACCCCCCTCCCATGTACATCACCCTCTACTACCTAGTCACCCGACTCCCTGACACCCTTCGCTCGGTCAGGGACCACTTCCTCTCTCTTTGCCCTACCACACTCACCGTTGACCTCCTCGAGGAGCGTCTCCTTGCAGCCGAGACTAGTATTACCGCTGTAGGAGCCTCTCGTGGTGACCCCCATACCCCTTTCTTTGAGGGGTGCTCCCCCGTTCCTCTTTTGCCCTCCGTTGCCTCTGCTGCTCCTGTCGACCTTGTTGGCACCGAGTCGGTCAGCGCTGCGTCTGCTCCTAGCGAGAGGCGCCGCAACGGCAAGGGCAAGCGGGGCAAGGGCGCTGGAGGAGGTGGCGGGGGAGGAGGTAGTGGCGGTGGAGGCGGAGGCGGGGGTGGGGGTGGGGGTGGAGGCAGAGGTGGGGGCTTCGGTGGCAGCGGTGGAGGTGGAGGCAGCAGTGGCGATGGCGGTTGGGGTTGAGGCGGCGGAGGCGGCGGCGGCGGAGGTGGAGCTGGTCGAGGCGGAGCTGGGCAGCGGGGACCCCAGCACCAGTCGCGCTCTCGTGAGACCCCGTCGCCACAGCAGCTTCGTGAGTGGTACGCAGGGCGTCAGGGGCCTGGGGGTGCTGGTCCCTGTACCTACGTCCTGCGCACCGGCGACCGCACTGGAGAGCAGTGTGGCGGCCTGCACGCCACCCAGCGCTGCTTCGGTCGCCTGACTGACGCCTGGCGTACCCAGTTCCCTGACGCCACTGAGATCCCTCGCTGGGGTGATCTGCTCAAGTCGGGTGTAGCTATCTTTGATCTTGACTTTGATGCTATTCTTGCTGCCATGTATGCTGTGTCTATTAGTGCTGAGGGTGACTGCTACGTGTGTGTTCCGCCTGACCCGGGCATTGAGGCTGCTGCTCTAGGTGCTAGTGAGTCTGCTGCTCCAGGTGCTAGTGAGTCTGCTGCTCCAGGTGCTCGTGAGTCTGCTGCTCCAGGTACTCGTGAGTCTACTGCTCCAGGTGCTCGTGAGTCTGCTGCTCCAGGTACTCGTGCGTCTGCTCTCTCAGGTGCCGCGTCGGCTCGGGTTTTGCACACCTTCACCCTTGACTCGGGTGCTTCCCGCTCCTTCTTTCGAGACCGCACCACCCTTACGCCGCTCAGTCGGCAGGTTGCGGTCTCCCTGGCAGACCCCTCTGGGGGTCCTGTTCTTGCTCACAACTCGACTGTCCTCCCGTGTCCGGCGGCCCCGTCAGGCTTCCTGTCCGGTCTCTACCTCCCCTCGTTCTCTACGAACTTGGTGAGTGGTGCTGACCTTCAGGATGGCGGGGTTGACCAGTTCACTCCTGCGAGTCAGCGAGTGACCCACTGCACGTGTGCTCGGACGGGCCGCCACTTGGCCACGTTTACCCGCCAACCGGGGTCGAGCCTGTACACACTGACTACAGAGTCTCCACCTGTTGCTGCGTCTGGTCAGGTAGCTGCGTCGAGTCAGGTGTTTGCTGCAGCGTCTCGGTCAGGTCCTGAGTCAGCCCCCTGCTCGTGTCGCCTCCTGTCCCACCAGACCCTCCTCTGGCACCACCGCCTTGGTCACCCCTCCTTGCCTCGCCTCCGAGGCATGGCCTCCCGTGTCCTTGTCTCTGGTCTCCCCCGGTCCCTCCCTCCCCTTCCCCCGGGGCCTGCCCCTACCTGCGTTCCCTGCGTTGAGGGGCGGCAGCGCACCGCTCCTCACTCCTCCGAGTTTCCTCCGACAGAGGCTCCGCTGCAGACTCTTCACATGGACGTGTGGGGCCCAGCCCGCGTCCGTGGACAGGGTCACGAGCGTTACTTCCTGCTGGTGGTTGACGACTACTCGCGTTACACCACAGTCTTCCCCTTGCGCAGCAAGGGTGAGGTCACTGAGGTGTTGATTGACTGGATCCGCGTTGCTCGTCTCCAGCTCAGGGAGCGTTTCGGCTCGGACTTTCCTGTTCTGCGTCTGCACTCCGACAGAGGTGGAGAGTTTTCCTCTGA